CACAAGCTTCACTATTCTCCTTTAGGCATGGGAGATCTCTCATCATATTTTTTTATATAATAACTTTAAGGCATGTGTATTAAAGTGGCCAAATCTTCGATGCCGAAGCCATGAGTCGTCTACTTCTATTTTCATGGCAATGTTAGGGCCTTGTCTCAAGCTTATAAGGAAACGTCTATTCCTCTTCTCCATTTATACTCGGCCAATCTCTAGCTTTTTTTTGTCATATATTTTACATGTGTCTTCGTCGAAGAGGAGAGTATAACCTTTCTCCATGATTTGCCCAATACTCAAGAGATTTTCTTTGAGATTGGGAACTAGTAGAATGTCAGTAATAAGTCTTGTACCTTTCTTCGTCTCCACCATAACTGTGCCTTTGCCTTTTGATTCAACGACAGTGTCGTTCCCCATTCGAACTTTCACTTTGACGGATTCGTCAATATCCTTGAAGATGCTTGCATCTTTGGCCATATGATTGCTGTAGCCGCTATCCCAAGTACCAACTTCCACTTGTTTCACTATTGGAATCTTGGCTAGCATAGAAAATATGTTGCTCACCATCTTTCTCTTCAGCAAAGTTTGCTTGATCCTTATTTTTGTTGTGACAATACTTCTCCACATGTCCAACTTTGTTGCAGTGGTGGCATTGTGGCTTTGCACAACATCGACAGTCTTTCTTGACATGATTTGTTCTCTTGCAAATGTCTCATGGAGGATATTCATTCCGATAATTTCTAGAGAAATTTTTAGAATTCTCTTTATTTCTAGAAGTTTCTCCATTATTCCTTTTTTCTTTATTTTGAGACCGTAATTTGTTGGGGTTATTTTTATGGTATTTGTCTGAGGGGATATTTTATGAGTTATTTTTATAAGGTTATTACACAAGCATACTCCACAATGATGAAATAAGATAAGAAATAACAACTTATATAACACAAACATACTTCAATGATAGAGAGACCTTTTGGGTGATGACCAAAAGCAAAACCATGAAGGCTTATGCCCAAAGCGGACAATATCTCATCATTGTGGAGTATGCTTGTGTAATAACCTTATAAAAATAACGCTTATAAAATATCCCCCTAGACAAACCTTATAAAAAATAACCCCAACAGTGATATCAGAGCCGCTTGGTTGGATGCAGTAACAACCCTCATAACCCCTCATAACTCAACATATAATGTGATATATAAAGATAGATTTCGTTACATGAAAGGTTAGGTCCTTTGTTTGAGGGGAGGATTGTTGGGATACAAACAAGTCCTACATCGATAAAATAAGACAAGAAATAACAACTTATATAACACAAACATACTTCAATGATAGAATGACCTTTTGGGTGATGACCAAAAGCAAAATCGTGAGGGCTTAGGCCCAAAGCGAAAAATATCTCATCATTGTGGAGTATGCTTGTGTAATAACCTTATAAAAATAACGTTTATAAAATATCCCCTCAGACAAACCTTATAAAAAATAACCCCAACATAATTTGAGCTTTGGTTGAAAGGCATTTTCAGTTGAGTCCTCATTATGCCTATTCAACCTTTGCCCATAAGCTTCAAGTGACCCCATCAACTTTGTTACTGATAAGGTAGATAGATCTTTTGTTTGCTCAATCGTTGTCATGATTGGATCATATAAACGAGAAACACTAATTAGAATTTTCTCCACAATTTTCTTGTCTAGAATATTTTTCCCGTACACTCTCATTTGGTTAACTATTTCTTTTGTCTTAGAATAGTAGTCCTTTGTGGTCTCAGATTCCTTCATATTTAATAATTCAAAGTTACGCCGTAAGTTTGTAATTTTACGGCACGTACTTTTTCACTTCCTTCAAACTCCTCTTGATAGTCCATGCTTCTTTGGCTGTTGTTGCACCCATTATTCTCGAAAAAATTGTGTCGATTATAGCTTGTTGCAAAATAAATAACGCCTTTGAATTCTTTTGTTTGTTCCTTTTTAACTCCTTTTTTTGAGTTGTAGTAAGGGATGAAGTGTCTTCTAGAGTAGAAAATCCTTCTTCTATCGTTTTCCATAAATTTTGGAAGGTGAAATATATGTCTTCATTTTTGTACTCCAAAAATCATAATTTTCACCATTAAAAGTGGGAATAGGGATAGATGATGGTTAAATGATGTTAGCCATGGATTGAATTTTTTTTTGAAAGTGGGTAGAATATTGGGAAAATTTGTTTTGGAAGTAGTGGGGTAATATTTCTATGCCCAATAGATGACCGAATGTAGCTCTGATACCACTGTTATTAGTTTATGAATTATTAAATAATAAAAACTTCTTTGATCGATAGAAAGAATGGGGAGACAAATTTATATTGATAGGCTTAGTTGAAAGGAAAACTAGCTTAGATGATCAATAGTTAGAATAGATTTGAGAAAATGCCTTACTAGTTGCTTGGTTACAAATGTTGGATACATGACCTATTTATAAGTCTCAACACCACCATTCATGTTTTATGTAGAGGATTCTAGAGATATCTATTCTAGAGTTTTTTTTTTTTATCTATATGTAATTATCTACGCAATTCTAGAATTTGTATAGTAGTTATTACATACACCTATGTATTTTTCTATAATAATCTAGCTAATTCTAGAAGCTTGTATCACATTTTAACAAAAAATTAACGATAGAAACTAAAAAGATTAAAAAAATACAAGTATAAAGATTAAAAAGACCATCTTAAACTATAAGAATGATTAAAAATAAATAAATATAAAGACTAAAAATATCTATCTTAAATCATAGGAATTAAAAAAATATTTTAACCTAGTTTAAATTTTAGTTAATATTGTATTACTAGTGTGAAGTACCCACCCATTACCTTTATTGATTACTAATTTCTGAAAAAAAAATTGATTAACTATATACTTTTGATGAGATATCCCCTCCTAATCATATTTTTCATTAGAAAAACTAAAAGATGACACATTGCTTAAAGGATATGAACTCAGTGTCACGGGAGGGTTTTCAAAATGTAAGTATATTTCATTTTCAAGAACTTAATTTATTTGTCCTGGAATGATTCAATTGCTAGTTGAGATGTTTTATTTTACTACTATTGAATTAAATGAAACTAGGGTTCTTGGTAAGTTTTGAGATTAAATGAAACTAGGGTTCTTGGAAAGTTGAGATTGAGTTGTGATTGATTAAGTATGGTTGTATGCGTAATTGGAATTTGTTGTATACATGAACGTGTGAAATACCAAAAAAAAAAAAAAAGTGCGATCAAAATTGTATGATACAAGTTGAAAAAAAAAAAAAAACCAACCTAAGTGTGAGACTCTAGAGGTGCAGGGTTTTCTTTACTCCTTTGACACTAATTGAGAGTTGAGACCAAACTTTTGTCCATTGTGATAATCATAGAGGGCACCCCATATTTTGATTCTAAGAGTGCCTGTACTCATAAGTGCAATAATAATATTCATAGAGTACTACGTGTTTAGATGCAAAGCAAGACAAAGTCTCGCTAAGTGAGAGTGTAATAGTGAACATCAAGTATTTTAACAACTAAACACAAGTTGATTTGCACTAAGCATAAGAGTTTTAGAGATCAATCATTACTTGTTTTTTTGCACTAAGAGAAGGAGCCATAAAGAGTAACTCTTACTCTTTGTTTTGAAATACACAATAGTATCACACAATTAGGAATGATAAATATACTTGTATCTGTGGGTAACGTTCAAATTTGTCCCAACTTTAATGAGATATACTTGATTTGGCTGAATATGAATACGGATAATACCAGATTCATTAAATTGGGGACGGAGACGAATATATACATATTCGTCTCGCACTCATACTCATACTCACTTAAAATTTATAAATATTAATTTTTTTTTTATAATTTACTTAAAATTAATGTAATTTCTTACTCTATTTTTAATTTATATCAAATAAAGTTTAATTAATATAATTTTGTAATTATTATTTTATGTTAAAATTCTTATTTTTTTAAATATTTTTTTGAAAAAAATAATATTTAATTAATTTTTGGATAGATATGAATATATAATATCCAACAAATACGAAGATGAAAACACAAATTTCATATTTGTTGGATATGGAAACAAAGATGTGTATAGGATATGGGACTAGGAACAAGAATGAGTATAGAGAAACCTAAACTCATACCCATCTCGTCTCGTTGCCACCCCTACACACCAGAAAAGCATAGGAGGATGTCAAACTGTGCATTTGAAAACTTTTGCTCAAAACTTTTTCAACCCACATTAGTTAAGCGTGTTAGCAAGTAAAAAAAATACATAAAATATATAAACTTAAAGAGCAAGGAAAAGATATAAAACATATAAAAGCTTTATAATGATTCACTTTTTTTTAATTTAATAGCTATGTCTAGTCCCTTTTTTCATGAAACAAATTCATGACTCAATAACAAATCAAGTATTCTCGGTCTCTCTAAACCTTACAAATTACCAATCACAATATAGTAATGAACTTCTAAGTATTTTTTCCTAATAAATCTCTCTAAACTTATCAACACACAAATGTTGAAGGTTTCCAAATATTTAACTCATTAGGATGAGGATATATGGAGATTGCAATACACTAGGTATCACTAAATACTAATACTAAGGTTATAAGAACTCCAAAGATCTTCTAATGGAGATCATCCATTCAAGGTGACTTAAATATAAAAGGTAATGATAACTTTTTTAATCTTGAGACAAAGAGCGTTTTAAGAATATGAGCTTTAGGGTTCTTCTAATAAATTTAATTTTGGGATATTATTAATATATATATATATATAATACTCTAATATAATTTTAAATTAATTATCATAAAATTAATAATATTTAATGATATGACAATTTAAAATTAATTGACAGTATACAAAACCTTTTACATAGGCGTGTTATAATTAATTTCTTTTAAGAAAATGTACGTTGGACTCTATTCCAAAAACCAAACAAATTCTTGTCCAAAGTTTTCATTAGGAAATGGCTCTAACACCAAGTAGAAAAATCTGCATAAAACAAATAACTTAAATATAACTTTTCTATAAATATTCAAGTTCACTAGTATGTAGTGAATATATAACTGTCATAGCATTGCTGTTTTACAACCTCAGAATATTTTATAAAAGGTCACCAAAGTGCACTATAATCAAACAGTACCATTCATATGATTTATTTCCCCCTTTGAACTTCCTCCAGGTATGAAAAAGGTCCTGGAAAGGATCAAGTGATGGTTTCAATTTTATGTAGCCAGCATCAAAACATCTTTTGCACATCATAATAGAAAAGAGATGTTGCTTTGTTGAGGTAAGCATATTAGCCTGAATCTGACCAAAGTTCTTCATGCAAAGCTATGTTTTTAGTGGCAGCTCTTTGTAAGTATATATGATCCCTTGATCACCATCAACCACATGCCCATTCCCTCTCAATATCCTGTATTATATCCACAAAATATGAAAATAAGTGAAAACTGAAAACATAATGATAAAATAATATAAATCTAATATGAAGACAGGTAAGAGGGCACAATAATAAAATGAATAATAATGGACAAGTATTATATAATATTGACAAGGTAAACAATAATAGGCTTTTCGCAGAAAATTTTTCACACCCTTCATTACACCTTGTTTGTAGAGATAAGTCATAAGTGTGTATTTCCCTTTGATTATTACTCAAAAACGGAAGTGATATAAGAATAAATGTAAAAAATTAATGTGTGCAAATAATGTTATTGAACTAAAAATAAGATGAAACATAGAATAGACCTACATAATTAACAAATATAAACAATTGCATATATGTTTAATTGAGAGTTTTGTTTTCAAACAAAAGCTTGGACATGAACTCAATTTCATACCATCTATTTGTCAACAAACCCTCAACTCCTACAGGGCCTCGAGCATGAATTCGACTTGTACTTATTCCAACCTGTTCAACAATTAATAGAACCAAGGCTAGGTGAGAAAATAAAATCATTATGCTACTAATAACAATAGGCTTTTTAGAAAATACATTACCTCTGCACCGAGCCCAAAGCGTGCTCCATCACAAAATCTAGTACTTGCATTGTGGAAAACAGCAGCACTGCTTGTAAACAGAGCAAAATTGCATATATTCCACGATCAATGACATGAATTAACAAGACTTATTCAAAATCTAGTTATGATAGCATGAATGCTATTTAATTTTGAAAATTGAATTATGTTAGAATAAAACATGGTTGACATTCTCTCTTTGTATGTTAAGAAAAACCTTTGGAATTTCAAAAAGTAATTGATTAAGGACTAGACATTAGGTAGTATAGATAGACTGTATAACAATGATTATGTGAAATATAAAGATTTCACATGGCTCTTGGGTCTATGGAATGATTTTAGGAGGAATGCTGGTTTATGGAATGGAATAATCCATTGAAAAAAATTTAATGCAAACAACACTTGAGATTTTAGAACTCGGTCTTATGAGTTGAAAGAGTATAAACATATCAGTCACAAAGAGATAGATTAGTAGGGCTTTAAACTGAAATAAAATGATATTTAGTGAGTAGTGAAGTAGTAATAATGACAAAAACAAAAGCCTTTTTACCCACAAAATTAATGACAATGTAACAACTTAGAGTCTGTTTGGATATTGACTTAGAAACGTGTTTGAGAGTTTTTTTATTGAAAAAAAAACCTTTTCTTTTCAATAGAGAAGCTTTTAAAAGTGTTTACAATTTGTATCCAAATAAACTCTTAAGCTTTTCTAGTTAAGTAAGGTCAACAAAGAGCAAGAATGAACTAAAAATAACTGGAATTGTTGAGTGGGAGAAAAATATCAATCCTAATATGTAAATATGTCGAACAAGTAGTTAAAGGCAGAAGAAACAAATAGATAATTAAATTTCTAGATAAACCTGTCAACTTGACTTAAGAAAGTCTCAGCAACTTCACAATCTTCTGTAACAATGCAATCAGTATGAGCACTGCAAAACAGCAAAGAAAGTAAGAATTTTTAACACTAATGTTAGTGATATAGTGAATGAAAATGAAAATTATCCACAGGACCCCAACGTGCCTTCCATGTTGATTTATGTGGTCAATGGCAGCAAATACATCTTCAACAATTTCAACTGTGCAAGCAAGTGAACTATACTCATGATGAAAAGAGTTCGTTTCAGCAATGTTTAGTAAGCCATTAGCTTTTGGTCCACCATACAATTTAACACCTGCAAACCATTTTATCCTTATTTATACACGTTTTCCAATTTTGGAAGAAAATAGGATGGATATTGCTTACACCCTTCATTATGAAATGAAAATTGAGTAGATTAAATGAATTGAAAACAAATTATATATTCCAGTTTGGTAAACTCCAAAATGATAGCTTCATATTATATAAATTACATTCCCATTAATTGTTTTTTGTGAAAATGGTTACTTTTTTTTCTTACCTTTGCTATATGAATAATGTGGGTTTTATCTTAATAGCTAAAGAAGCTCTGCAATATGTATTACATAGATGATTTTTCTTTTCTTTGAAAAACTTGTTAGATGATAAAAAATATTTATTCTTTTAAAATCAGTTCAAAAATCCACAAGGTCGGTAATGTATACTCTTTTTTTTCCTTAACGGGCACATTGTACTTTAAATTCATTTCTTAAAATTGAAAATTATTTATACATAGAATTTCATGATAACTTGTACGCATGCACACACAGAGAACAAGATTTATTGCCATCCATGAAGAGAATTATTAAAAAAATCAATAAGAAAAAAGAAAAACTTCAATTTGAATCAACATTTTTTTTGTTATAAATCCATTTGCATGTAAAGTTGTACCTTCACGCTGAAGTTCAAGGACAAGCTCATTAAGTCCACCATTATTTGATAGATCCTTGTGCACAAGAAGAGTTTCCTAATAATAATGGAACAAAAATATTTTGATGAGCACAATCCATAAATTCCATTCACATAACAAATACCAATTAAGTAAAATCCTAAAAGAGGGTGCATATAGATGAAAATATTTTGCTTAGTGCATTGCAAAGAAATGCTATTTACCATTGCATTGCATGCTGCTGGATAATCAGTTTTTGCATCCCTAACAATCTGCTTTGCCATATCAATATTAGCAGACTTGTCAACAAATACATGACAAATTCCATCTGCATAACAAAAACAAAAAATTCAAATAAAATAAAAATTACTAACTACAAAGTAGGAAATTTATATGGAAGAACATTACCAGAATGACCAAGAACAGGGATTTTTGTTGATTCCTTGATTTGAGAAACAAGCTTATTGCTGCCTCTAGGGACCACTAGATCTATCACATCATCAAGCTGAATCAAAGTATAATTAGTAGCAAATCATTGTAAAAAAAAAAAAGTAATTATAAGAATTTTAGCTTGTGATATCCAACCTTAAGTAGGTCTGGTATTTCATCTCTTGAAGTCACAAGTCCAATAAGTTTGTCACCAACGGTATCTGGCATCACTGAAGTAATGACCTACAATTAAGAAGAAAGGTGAAGGATATAAATATATGTATGATAGAAATCATGACAAAGAAACAATAGTAAATTTGATCTAGATTAATCTTATAAAACAACATCATCAATTAAAATCAAAAGACAGTATAAAGTATATAAACCTTGTGTAAGATTGCATTTGATCGTCGAGCTTCCTTTCCACCTTTAAGTAGTAAACCATTCCCACTTCGAATTGCCAATGCAGCTATCTGTTAATCAATTTAACAAAACAACTTAAAATTCAGTATCTAAATCAACTAAACAATTTCAAACAACATACTTCAGTCAGAGAAGTAGAGTCGAAATATTTCATTGACAAATAGGACATGTTAAATTTAATGATATAGTGAAATGACAATCAACTTATATTAAATCGATAATTTGTAATCAAGCTCAAATCTTTGTCCTTCTAAATAATTTATTGAAGATGGAAGACAAATAAAAAAGAATAAGAATCTTAAAATAACCTGAACAAGGGCATCAGGTCGAGACTCAAATATAATCAAAAGAACACCCAAAGGACATGATATTTTCTCCAGGATGAGTTTATCTGCTAGCTGGACAGAGATAACAACAATCAGAACTGTCACAATGAGAGTTGAACAATAGAACGTATAAGTTGATAACATTATTCATATTTTGATCAAACCAGTAACTATAATTTGTTCTTAGATCAAGATTAGTGAACATAAGTTACAGAATATGTTTTAGAATTTGTTACCTTACCAAACACTAAAGATATATTACATATTTAAAACATGCCAAAAGAGGAAAATGCTGAATATTCCAATGCCATGTCACCAATATCATGTCATTTATAAGCTACTTGTTTCAATAAAAGAAGAAAAAAAAATCATCAAGACAGCGAAATTAGTGACTACAAAAGAATTCAGAGAACAAGGTTTTGACCTCAGTTCTTTTCAAAATTTGGCCAATTGGTTCTTCCATATCTGCCAACTTACGCACAGACTTTGCAAGACTATAGATCTGTAAAGTACAAAGATAAATGTCTAATTAAAATATTATCACAAAAAAGCTTCATGAAATCATGCTTTGAAACATAACAAATTAGTGTTAGATGATAATAGCAAAGAAATTTGTGTATGTTATCCTTTAGTATTTAACTTCAGTTTTCAACCAATTAAGTTCTTACCTTCTCACGCTTCAATGTTAAACGTGATATCAAGGATTTTTCATATCCAGAAGCCACTGCATCAGCAACATCAACCTCATTCTCAAACCTTATCGTACTTTCATTTTTCTCTAATGCATCAGCAATTGCTAGCAATATTTTGCTCCTTTCTTCAGATTTGAGGAGCTGACACAAAAAACATCAATATAATACTAATAACTACCCTAATTCACTCCAATGTGACAATAATAATAGTTTGAGATTTATATTGCTAATATAGTAATAATGGTATCAATTACCACCACCTAAAAAAATTATATCGACGAAAGTAAGTCAAGCTTATAATGGTAATAAATATTTATTACTACTTCCAGTTCTTATTATAAGAAACAAATTATAGTGTAAAATGTACTTTCATTTATTTCTTATAAAAAGGACTGAAGGAAGTATTTAACAAGTAAAGCTTTAATTCGGTCCTTTAAAGATTAGTATTTCCTCATATTAATCCGCAAGATTTTTTTTTAGTACAGTACAATATAGTTGTTGAGCTCATATCACCACTCAAGTGTTCTATAAGGATGAATATACCAACAACCAAAGTCTTTGATGGACTAATTCGGAAACAATTTTTTTTTAGAAGACTAATATGCTAAGATGTAACTACATTTACCTGAAGTCGTCTAGAACCCTCACGAGCTGCAACTGCCATTTCACGTGCACTCACTTCCTTCATATTGATCCATAGATGAGCATCTTTATGAAAGACAGTGCCTATTCTTTCCCCTTGAAGCACTCGTAAGATGTTGTTTGTAGCATAACCACTTCAATGGGAGTTGAAATATAATACAAAGTCAAGTGCAAAATCCAAATTTATAGTTGAAATTATGTACTACATGAAAATTATTGTTCACAGTAGGCACCATAACCCTTATTCATCTCTTGAACAATTTTCAAGATAGTAGATACATTAAGTAAATACCAATGGTTGCAAGTATAAGAAAATGTCATTCTTTTCCACTTTTTTTATTTCCCCTAAAATTACATGAACCACAAGTCACTATAGATAGCAAGATAGAAACAAACATGATATTTATTTCAAACTGATGAAGACCATAAGACATACTCTGTACTCTAACATAATGGAATATCTACATTCCTTTGTTTTATCATATGATGTCCATAAACTACATTGATGCATTTTCACAACCTCCTTTGAAAACTACTTCACTATAGAGTTTAATTCAACCTTTTCTTCTTCTCTTGATGTTGTTGTGTCCATGGTTTTAAAATATTTGCACAAGTAGGTGACTCCCCAATGTTCAACACAAAAATGAATCAACTAAAATAGTCTATGTATGATATAAAAGGTGCAAACATTTTGATATATGAAAAACCACTAAATGTAAGGTACCTAGTTATAATTACTGGGATGCCAACATGAGCAGCACAAACAGCAGCATTAACTTTGGCAGTCATACCCCCTCTGCCCAATCTTGATTTATCTCCAAAAGTAATTTCCTCTTGATGTTTCTCTTTTATATATGTATGGATCAACTTTGAATTTGGGTCACTTGGAGGACCACTATAAAGGCCCTCAACATCACTCAATAAAACAAGAAGATCAGCTTTAAGTTCAAGGGCTAATAGACCAGCCAAACTATCATTGTCCCAGAAAATACCAGAGGAATCCTGCACGCAGTGCTTACAATTTAAGATAATCACATATTAGACATTACAAAGCCACCAACCATGTAGCCAACCCACCTAGTGGGACATGGCTTGTTTTGTTTTTGTTAATCAAATTAACATATTGTTAGTGTAACATAAAGAGTTTTTACTAAAGCATTTTGATCAACTATTTCAAGAAATGAAGGAACATTAAACAATTTTAAAATAAATAAATAAATAAAGATAATTCAAATGAAATAGTTGGAGAAAAATCAACACACCTCATATGGTGCCTTCCTTGTACTAACAGCATCGTTTTCATTGAAAATGGGGATAACCCTTAAATCTAACAATGAATTCACCGTGTCCGAAAGTTGTTTTCTGAAGCCAGCATCCCTAAAAAACCCATCATTCACAAGAAGTTGGGAAGAAGTCACATCAAGCTGCACCAAGAAAAATCTCATATCAGCATCAACATGGAGGAAACATCAAATTCACTTGCTAAGTCCTAATTATAAGCAATAAATTGAGTTTTTTTTTATCCTAAACATAAGTAATAAGTTACTCATAGTTAAATTTTTTTTTTATTCCCTTTATTTATATTAAATTTGTTTCTAATGCATTCACTTATAACTAATATTAAATATAACAACTACTTCAAGTAAAAAATATATTAAAAACTTAAATTTATGATAAAATTAATTATAAGTAATCATATTAATCACTTTTCTTAATCTTAAATGATCTGTCTAATATTACTTATAATTAGGACGGATTGAAAACTTAAATTTATTATAAAATTAATTATAATTAATCATATTAATCACTTTTCTTAATCTTAAATGATCTTTCTAATATTACTTATAATTATGACTTAAAGTATTAATTAAGGAAAACAAAACACTTATAATGGATTGTGGAGATAATTCAAAAGCAACTTAGTTTTTATACCAACCTGGCTAAACATGGTATCATAAAGAGCCATAAGACTACTCTGCCCAACAGCTGCACATGCTTTTCCATCAAGCTCACCTTGCGGCTTTTGAAGATCAGAAAAACTACATCACAAGTAAACAATGTCATTCAGGATCATCATCCTCTCTCTAAGTTCAACCTCAAATTAATAGAAAATGAACAAGTTTGCATTAACTTCTTCAATCCTACATAGGTCTAATCCTAATCACACAATTGGGATCTAATCCTAATCACACAATTGGGATTGAAAGTCTTGAAGAGAAACATGCTAGTAGAGTACAAAACAATTAAGTATTTTCAGTTCTGTAAGACAAATAATTTTCTCCTCTGATATTCAATGATAGTTTCATTCTCTTTGGAGCATCACTTACAACTGAAGCTCTTGCCATTTTTTTTCTTTTCAAATTGAATGAATGTGTGAAATCCATTATTGATTAGAAATTTGATTCATATCATTGAATAAGATATACAGTTAGCAATTTAGCATAGGAAAATCTAAATCACAAGAACCTGCTATTGGCCAATTTGCGATATCTAAGTCTTTGCTTGCCAAGACCAACAGCACCTGAAGTTACCAAAATGACTTCATACCCTTGAGTACTAAGTTCTTTAAGCTACAACAATTTCAATGAAAAACACAATTTTTAGTCACATAAATACACAAATATATAAGTATTATTCTAGAAAAATATAATAAAAAATTCTATACCTGTTCACAGAGAGCTCCAATTCTGCCCAAAGCTAATCTTCCATCACTTCGAGTAACAACTGCTGTGCCAACCTTCGATAAAGATTATCCAACAAAGAAATGTGTTATTTGCAGAATTAGAATTAGAAAGTTAAAGCAAAACGAACTAGAAATTCACGTAAGTTAATTAGAACTTCATGTGCCATCTACAATTATCTAGATTAAAAATACATTTTCTTTTTGTATATTTACATTACATAGAAAAAATATCAATGTGTCTTGCAACTTGCAACCGATTCATTATACAACATTCAAAAATCATCAAACTAAACAAACAAAATCAAATGCAATTTCTCGATTAGAAAATACATTACATTTTTTTATATCATTTTTGATTTCATGATAATAATAATAATGAACAATCTCTGCCGAATATAAGATAACACGTTGTATCATAATATTGAATTACGAAAAATAAAATTGAGGTGAGACCTTGACTACAACACGTTTGACACATCCCATGAAAGATCGAGTGGGATGTGTGTGATCCATAGAATCTAAGCAATAAGACTGAGTCGAAACAAACGAATTAGGTGACTTGATGAGTGAAGGAGTGTTTAATATAACTTTTATGAATAATTTAAAAATTATTAATCATATTATTTCAAAATTGTTTGTTTTATTGATTAATTGTCTTTTGTGATATTAAAATATTTTTATTTTATTAAAAAAAAAAAACTCATGTTTCTGTTACAACTTTTATGCTTTGTTTGTTACTAAATAAAATAACAGAAAGTTTATCCGTGCATACGTGGGTACATTTTTTTAACAAATTTAACGAAGTCATTATATTTTGTCAAAATTATAATAAATGTTTTAGAAAAAATAATAGAAAAAGGATATGCAAAATTCATAAAAAGAAAAAAAAGAAAAAAAATAATAGTGTGACAAATCCATAGGAAAAAACTTGTGTGTTCAAGCCAATATTATATCAATTTTTATATACAAGAATGAAGATATAAAAATCTTAGAAATATCGGTTTAAACAATAAAAAAAGAAATACTATGAAAACGTAATTAATGAAATAGCCAATGTATAAAAAATATTTTTAAATTAGAGACAAGGATTGATGTTATAAAAATAACTTCAAATACAATATTGACATTTTTTTGTGTGTATAGGTTATAATGAAAATAGAACTTAGACTCTCATCCAATCTTTTGCGCATTTTTTTTTTAATCGAATTATAAAATTTGAACTTAGGATCTGTAAGTACTACTTCAACCTTCTGTCTCTGAACTTCATACAATCTACCTATAATTTATATTGACATAAAAATTAAAATTAAAATAACAATTATAAAGAAAATGACTAAAAAAATATATTTTATATACTCTTTTAATAACTAAATATTTACAACTTAAAATTAGATATGTTCTTTCAAAGACTTAAAATCATTATTAATTGAGAAATAAAAGCGGGAAGACAAATAATGTGATTTTTAAAAATATCACATCATTTATATGTTTTAATTTTTACCAATAAAACTTAATCATCAATATTTATTTTTCTTATTTACATAAAAATGACCCTCTCATTAAATATATCTCTTATGAAGAGAGGTGAAGGTATTTCAAGAATAATTTTAAAAGAATTGTTTTCCATCTTCATCCTTTATATATATTTGATCTAAACAACTTTATATATTAAACAAAAACTATTATTTTGTATAAGAGTATTTTTAGAAGGTTTTTTTTTTGTCAATGAAAAGATTTGTAGAAATTCTTTAACTTCTCATCTAATTTCATTTTTTATTTATCATAAATATTTAAAATTAAATATTAATACTTTAAAATTAATTATCAATAAAGAATTTTTTATTATAATATAAATTATTTATCATAAATCTAAATAAAATTTATATGTTTAAAGATATTTATTTATATAAATTTTAAATTTAGTTTATATATAATTTATTATAAATTTTAGTTATATATAATAATTATATATGAACATTTCGACATATTAAAATATTAGTCAAAAGAAAGTAAATAGTGAAGATGGAGGATAACTATTTTAGAGTTACCCTTGAAATAATTTAATCTCTCTTCTCAATTTAAAGTTTAAACTAGTATATTTAACTTTTTTTCTTCTTAATATTCTATATCAATCAATATATTATTATCTTTATTTTTAAATTAAATTATAATATTTTAAAATAATTATTAATAGTAAAATACTCCTATTTTATATATAAATTACTTATTATAAATTTAAATATAATTTTTTCAAAAATATTATTTATTATAAATTTTAAATATTTTTTTGTTATACGAATTTTAGATATAGTATAATTTATATATTCAAAAATATTTTGTTATATATTTTAGTTATTCTCTTCATGTATAAATTTGAACAATTATTTTGAATAAAAAAATTAAGAACTATTCTTCAACAATTACATTTTTAAGATTTCTTTCAATGGTACACAAGAATGTCTTTTTTAATGAAAATGTTTGTAAAGGTTATTCTTAATCACTTTTTAAAAAAATAGATTTAACTTCGCTTTGATTCTCTGGATTTGAATTATGTGAATTCGATCTTAAAATTTTGTTATGGCACAAGTTCAGTCTTCTACTAAATATATAATAATAAATTTTGCTGACATAGAATTGGGTGATCAGATATCAACCATGTGACATATTACATCTTGTGTGACACATATATTAACGTTACTTAATTATACTTACTTAGTCATGTTATGATTGTTATCCAATTATGAGATACCAAAAATGTAATTAAGGTATGTTAATTACACACTTGAGAAGCAATACATCAATTATAATGTCATTATCCAATGTCATGCCAACAAAATATGTTAAATATTTGATTAAAAAAAAAAAAGGAAGGTTCAAAGTTGTACGAGCGTTTTAAAAACACATACAATTATAATACATAAAAGATTAAAAATTACAATTAAAAAAAATATTATCACAATACACATAAATTTAAAATAAAATTTTTATATTTTAAAAAATATTATAAATTTATTTATAATTTATATATATATAATATAAATTTTAATTATATAAAATAAATATTTATTATATACTCATACAAAATAAAAATATTAGTATATATTTCACTAATCTCCATCATATTGGAAAAATAAGTATGTGACTGATCATGAAATTAATTATATGTTTATATAAAAATAAATTACATATACGTTCATCAGTGTATTTTAGTTAATTTTTAGTCTATTTAACCGGTTTACAAGTGTTTTTTTTTTTTTTTTTTTATCAAAGTGAAAATCTTTAATGAACATTTAAACTTAGATATTATTATTATTAACTTCAATATTTTTGTATAGTTCTCCATCTATCACTTTATTTAAAATTACATAACCTGTGTTAATAAAAGCTCTTCTTTAATACTATATTTCTTACTTTAAAAATCACATCATTTAACTACTTTATTTTAAATTTTAGTAGAATATATTCTTTAAACCAAAATGATAAAATTTAAAATTTAATAAAAAAGTATAAAATTATGATTGTCAAAAATACATTTCCAATTATATATTACTAATAATAAAAACAATATTAGTTTTTAGTGTCCACAAATTTTTTTCTTCAATTTTATCTTTTAATTATAAATATCATAAAAAAATATACATGGCTACAAAAAGAAAAAAACTACTCATTAATTAACTTCAAAAAAATTGTCATTTTCTCATAGAGAAATAGTTCTTATTTTTTGTATTAATATAAATAAGAAAATATAAGCTTATCTATTATTTTTGGTAAAGAATACGAGGGATAGTGAACCAAAAAATCTAACGTGTAGGATTCCTAATAGTACGTTTGAGTAGATTGACAAAACTCCCACACAAATCTAAACCGCAAATACTTTTTTATCAATTTTGTGGAGACTAATTCATATTATCTATTACTTTTATATTCATCTTTTTTATTTTAAAACTATTTGATATTTATCTTGTTAAGATTTTTTTGTTTTTCAAATTGCAAAAATTATAACTATTTTTTAACAATTTAAATTCAATTTATTTTACTTGAAAATCATTTAAAATATTAAAAAGGTGGTCACATATTGTCTAGTCAACACGTGGTAAGGTGCTAGGTATAGTAATTATGAAGTAACGCATGTGAAGTCCTAAAACAAATGAGAGCCACTCAGAGTCAGAGACACGTGCAGCCGAATCTTTTGTTTGTGGGGGGCAATAAAAACAAATTACAAAAATAAGTATGATTATAAATAAAATATCAACTTTATCTCCACAAATTTAAATATTATCACATCTTAAAAATTATAAAACATTAAAATAATATACATAGAGTCTTATATTTGGAGTTTAAACATGTTATCACCATCGTAATTTATCTTATCGGAACCAAATTATTATCCTTATGTTCTCTATTATTAAAAACTTACATTTTTAAATATAAACAAATTTCAATTATTTTTATTTTATTTAATAATAATTTTTTTAATACATGACATTTGAATTGCATTACTTTTTATAATATTCATAACAAAGATAATTTTAAAAAATAATCATGAGATTAGCAAAATTTAATATAAATAATTATTATTTTTTTAATATTAAACATAGAACTACAAAATCAACATATTAAACATTTATAATTGATGGTACTAAAAATTATTTCATTTACCAAGAAATATATTTGGATACAAATTAAAATTATTTTTAAGAAATTCTTTTATTCAAAATAAAAAATTATTTCTAGTAAAAAAACTTCTAAACTTATATATGTATCTTCTACTAGAATTATTAATAGTCAAGTCTCAATAAGATCATTATAATGGTAAAATTGTTTCTTTTTTAAGAGTTTAACATTATTGAATATTTAGAACTCAAATATGATATCTCTAAAAAACATTAAGAATTAAATATATTTTTAATTTTTTAAATTTTAAAAAAAATATTTTTAGGCCCTTAAGTTTAAAATTGTTACTTTAGAAAATTTTATTTTAATATTTTTATTCGTAGAGACATTAATATATAAATTTTATGTCACAGTATTTAATAGATTTTTCAACAAAATTTAAATTTAAGAATTTAAACAAATTTTTTAAAATTACAAGATTAAAAAGGCCAATTACTAAAAATAAATTTTCAGAAAAAAAAGAAACATATTTGAGCCAAAACTTAAAACAATCTTATATAAGTGGATTTCCATGTCAAATGATATAAAATAAGTTAATTTTTTACCTCTCTAAAAACTAATTTCTTCAGAAATAAACATAGAAATTCACTCGAAATTCAAACAAAATAAAATTACACCAAGCATCTGTACTTTGTGCCACTACAATGCTGCAAAAATGATGACACCATGATTGTTGCGGAAACTCGCGACTTTATAGAAGTTCATAGGAAAACATTGAGTTATGAAATGGGGTCATGTAAGCCGCATGAACCTTTAAGTGCTTTTAATGATGTACTTCAATTAAAACTAAATTTCCAACTTGATAATTCAACCAACAGAAAGAGTATCAAAAGGAAATTTCAATTTGATTAAACAACGCCACAATAAAAAAATAAAATAAAATAAAATAAAAAATAAAACACCACAAAAAAAAAAAAAAAACTTGGATACAATTTCTTTGTTAGAGTTGATCTTGTCCTTTAATCAAAATTTAAATTTTATCCTATACTATACTTACATTTAATATAAATCTCATTAATATATATTTATACATACTATTAAGATAAAATATTGATTTTAAATAAAGAACAACATAAACACGACATAAATTGCACCTAAATTTTTTCTTAAAAATAAAACATTTGTGGATCTAAATTTTGTTCTGAAGGGTAGAAAAAAAATGTCAAGTTAAAAGTTGTACCTTCACAATGAGACGCTTGACCTTGGTGACGAAAACTCTGGAAGGATCTATGTTGCCCAGGTACTGAGTTTCGGAGAGCGAGTTGAGTATAGAAAACCCATTATTGGTTAGGGGCAACTCGGAAGGTTTCATGACAACGAAAGGTTTATGACCATTTTGCAGAAGTTCCATTTTTTTTTTGCTTTTGTGTTTGTTCTGAGAAACTGATATGAACGAAGGAAGGCACTGATATGAAGTTCTGTTCATGTGGCAAGGGCTTTTAAAGGCTTTTAAATTAAAGGCTTGCACAGTATTTCAGATTTTTTATTTTTATTTTTTAAATATATGCCTTTATTAGCCACCAGAATTTGTGATTAATACGGCATCTACTTTGGCTTGCAGTTTGGAGCATAGTGCTTAAGCTGCTAAAGGAAGTTTTTAATGGAATAATTGAGGGTAGATTCGAATTTTACTTGAGGAAAGTGTGTTTAGCAAATTGCTCTTTGCTCTTGGCAATCAATCCATGATTGTTAATCTTCCACCAACACTTTGTCTACCTATATGAGGAATGAATTAATTTCACCAAAAAAAAATATGAAATAATAGGGATGACTATAACTAGGTGTGGGTAGGATGGTATAATATTCGTTATTATATCCATCTTTAATAATAACACCTGTTTTATACTTGTGTGAATAGTAATTTTAATCTCTATTTTTATAATTATTGAGTACTTATATATTCTTATTCGCACTTATGATCTGTATTTTATTTATATATAAAGTAAATAAATTAATAAAGAGATAATATTTCATATAAATAAATATAATATTAATTTTTCAGGTTTTTAATATTATAAAATATAACATCTCTTATAAATAAAGATTACAAAACATATTCAACTTTTGTAAATAAACTTTGAAGAAAAATTCAACATAATGAAATTATAACTAAACTTTCAACATCATGATAATGCGTAAACAATATTTTCTAAGACTTGTGAAAAAATTATACATAAATTAATTAGATTAAAATTATAGATTAAATTATATACTATAAATTTTAAAAAACAAGTATATAAAGAGAGTTGATCTCATCATTGGAATCAACTTCTCTATATTTTGTAAATGCTTGTCTTCTAAGTCTATATATTGTTTTGATATAGTAATACAAATAGAAATTATATGACAAGAAAATAAATAATTAGACAATTTAAATTAATAATTAAAGGCAACAATAAAAAATAAACAAATTTTATTAAATAAAAAAGGTTTAATACTTTATTATCTTATTACTTGTGTTTTAACTAATTTTAAGTGCTTTCAAAGTAAATTCATGGAGTCTAAAATAATGAGGGTTCAAAAATCTACATATTATGCTAAATACAAATTTTGAAGCTACAGTCGAAATTGAGTTTACCAAAACATCCTTAACAATTTTTTACAAAATTGAATACTTGATTCCATTTGTTTTCCACCATCCAAGAATGTTAAAAGTAACAACCTAGACAAAACTTTTTCTTCCAAGTAAAGCTCTATTTCAATTTTTGTGTGTGTTTCAATTGTATCATTCACAAATGAATCATAATCACTAAGAAAATTGATAATATTTAGATTATCAAGTTTGACTCATTAATATTTGCTCGTGAAGTTGAACTTTCCACTATTCCTTTAACTTTAGTTTGATTCTCTTCAAATAATGAGTAGTATAATTTCTTGATATTATTAATTTTAATTAAAGTTGTGCCACCATAAAGTTTAGGGAAAAAGTACTCTAATAACTTCAACTTGTATCTTGGATCTAAAATAATAGCAATATTATTATATGAATTGATATATATATATATATATATATATATATATGTATAAAAATATATAAATAAATAGTCTAGGAGCCATGGAATGGGACCACCTATTGAATAGTGTAGGAACCAATCCCTCCGAACCACCTTAATTATGGGATGTCTAATAAGGTCTTGTCTAAGTGTTATAACTGGTCATGATAGCCTCCCATTCTCATTAGAGGTTTCCTCACCATAACACCCCCAAGGCATAGGTAAATGACCTATGATATCCCACTTGCACGGACTCAACATTACAATATACAAAGACTCATATCCTTATGTGTCAATCCGCGACACTAGACTTATCCATCTCATCTCATACCTAGTGAGCCTACACTTAGGCGTTTGATTTTAGAAGAGGGCCATAGAAATAAGCTTAGTTTTCATCCAGGATCAACTAAGATGTATGATAACCTTAAGATGTTTTGGTGGCCTAGGATGAAGAAGGACATAGTTGAGTTTGTTAGTGCTTATATAGTTTGTCAGAAGGCTAAGGTAGAACAACAGAGACCTTCAAGATTACTTCAACCTTTAAGTATACACAAGTGGAAGTGGGATAGTATTTCTATGGACTTTGTAGTTGCTTTGCCTAGGACTGTTAGGGGACATGAATCAACATGGGTTATTGTGGATAAATTGACTAAGAGTGCTCATTTCCTAATCATTAACATTAAGCATTCCTTAGAGAGACTTGCTAAGATTTACCATGATGATATAGTGAGGTTGCATGGGGTATCATTTAGTATAGTGTTAAACAGGGACCCTAGATTTACCTCCAGGTTTTGGGAGAGTTTGCAGCAAGCCTTGGGAACTCAACTTAGACTTAGTTTGGCTTATCAACCATAAACTGATGGTCAAATTGAGAGGACTATCCAATCCTTAATGGATTTTCTTAGAGTTTGTGTGTTGGACCAAATGGGTACTTGGGATAGCTTTTTGCCTTCTGTAGAGTTTACTTATAATAATAGTTATCACTCTAGTATAGCCATGCCGCCCTATGAAGCCTTGTATGTTAGGAGGTGTAGGAATCCCTTGTGTTGGTGAGAGCTAGGGGATAATATTACCTTAGGACCCAATGTAGTAGAGCAAACCACAGATAAGGCTAGAGTGATTCAGGAGAGGATGAGGACAGCCTAGAGTAGGCAGAAGAGTTATGCTGATAAGAGGAGGAATGACTTAGAATTTCAAGAGGGAGATCATCTATTTTTGAAAGTCACTCCTTGGATTGGGGTTGGCAGGGCATTGAAGTCTAAAAAGCTTATGCCTCAATTTATTGGTCCTTTCCAAATTCTGAAAAGAGGCAGTAGCGTTGCCTACCAAGTTGCCTTACCTCCAAAACTTTCAAATCTTCGTTAGTGTATTTCATGTTTCTCAACTTTGAAAATACATATATGATCCTTTGCATGTGATTGAGTGGATCATCTTGAGGTTAAGGAAAACTTGATAGTGCAAGCTATCCTGGTGAGAGTTAAGGATCAAATGGTGAAATAGCTCAAAGGTAAGGAAATTCCTTTGGTTAAGGTGATTTAGGGAGGAGCTACACCTAAGAGTGCTACTTGGAAGTTGGAGGAGAGGATAAAGGATTCATATTCGAACTTCTTCATTAAGGTAATTTAGGGACAAATTATTTATTTCTATACGTGGAAATTATTTTATTATATTAATTTATTTGATTTAATGGGAGAAGGGAAACAGGTCGGGTTGACCCAGTTTAGTGAGCTTTGAAAAGAAGGGTCAGGCAGAAGTTACCCTAATCTGCCTCATTTTGCGTTCTGAAGGACTAAGAGAGAGAAGGAAGAGAAGGAAGGAGCTTTGGGGAGAAATGCTCAAAATTGTCTCAAACTGCATTAGAATGTTCTTATCATCGCAATAAGGTATGAGGAGGAAAATGACTTCATTCATATGTGGGATTACGAGAGAGAATGGGTAGCGGTAGAAATCCTTAAATTCCTAAGGTTGTTTGTTTTCTATTCTAACACTGAAATTAATGATTCAATCAGGTTTTATATTGATTTGTGAATGTGTTTATCATATTGTTTGGTAAAAATTGATGATCAGGATAATAATTGAATGCATTAGGATTTGTGAATGTGTTTATCATATGTGGGATTACGAGAGAGAATGGGTAGCGGTAGAAATCCCTAAATTCCTAAGGTTGTTTGTTTTCTATTCTAACACTGAAATTAATTATTCAATCAGGTTTTATATTGATTTGTGAATGTGTTTATCATATTGTTTGGTAAAAGTTGATGATCAGGATAATAATTGAATGCATTAGGGATAAAATTCCTAAGATTGTCCATTTTTTATTTGGCACTGAAATTGACGATTCAATTAGGTTTTATATTGATTTATAAATGTTTTTTTTATATTGTTTGGTAAATTTGATGATTTAGATGATAATTGAATTCATTGGGATGTGCTTTGCAAGTTACGATTTTTGTAGATTGATGAGCACCCTTAATTATATGAATTAATGAGCAATTTAGAGATTTTACTTATGGATGTACCTTTGTATTTTTGTAATATCTTTCTATGTGATTAATGAAATCAATTTTCATTTATTGGGTTAAAAAGTAGACACTTTAGGCTATAATTTAAACTCTATAATTATGTAAAAATGTTAAGAATTGATTGAGTTATGCGAGCTATAAGTTCAATCTCCATTCTAGTGCGTGAAATATTAAGTTTATGTTGTCAGCCATGCGAGATGACCATAACAACATTTTTAGGCTTCGTGTTCTTCACAAAAATTGTAGCCTTGGATGTTAGCTTTTTAATAACGTTTAAATCACTCAAAAAGGATGTGTACAACTCAAGTTATGGTCAAAATAGTGAGTGGAGGTCAAGTTGTCAAGATTTATGGTGCTTGGCGCGAGTGTTGTGTTTTAGTTTGGGTTTTTGACATTTTGGGACCCCATTTTGATATGTTTGGGATAATTTATGATTTCTTAGTGATGCATTATAATATTTATGATATGATTGAATGAGTTTGATGTGGGATTGTGAAATATGGTATTATATTGATGAATTTTGATGATGGTTGTGAATTGTATTATGTCCAGTGATGATTATTGTATGAATAAGTATGAATTGTGTGTATCTGAATGAGTTGATGTGAAAAATGTGATTTATGGTTGTAAGATGTGTCTCTATATCTAATTGTGCATTAGCATGGATAGAAATGATGAATGGATGAGGTGACGTGACGTGACATGACATGAGTATTGGTGCATGTTGCATACACATTTACCTTGGTCATAAGTGGTGATTAACAGGGGATGCATTTTTATACACTAGTCATAAGTGGTGATTAACAATGTGACATCGATCATAAGTGATGTAAATTGTGTGTCCATGCGTGGCAATGCTTGAAGAGGTTGTTGAAGTTCGCCCATTGTGCAACGTTCTGAGTTTATGCTTCT